CCCCGACCGGGCCCGCCCCCTCGGGCGCCCAGACGCGCAGCGCCCCCTGCCCGCCACCGGGAGGAAGGTTGGAGGCAGCTCCGCGACTGGACGCGCGCGGCGGGGCTGCGTCCGTATGTTCAGACCACTTGGGCGCCAGGGGGCGCGAGAGGGTATGTATCCCAGTGTGAGACCTGTGCGCGCTGAGGTCGTGTGTGTATGTGTGTGTGTGAGTGTGAGGTCTTGTGTGTGTGTGTGTGTGTGTGTCCCTCTGTTCCTCACTAGGCTGTCTGGCTCTACACTGTCCAACTATCCCTTCATCCATTCATTCAACCGTCTATTAACTAAGTGCCAATTAAATGCCAGACACTGCAAATATGAGTGGCTCTCTATCCAAAAGAATGGCTAAAATGAGAATGACGGACCTTAACCAAGTGGAGGTGAAGAAGTAGCAACTAGACCGCTCATATTTCTGGAGGAGTGTAAATTGGTAGAGACACTTTGGAAAACTGGCGGTTTTCTAATGAAACCGAACAAATGCAACCTTAAGATCCAGCAGTTTTACTCCGAGGTCGTTAACACCCAAAAGAAATGCGTGGGTATGAGCACCAAGGGGCCTGTACTGGAATATTAATAGTGCTATTCATAATAGCCTCAGGCTGGAAACAACCCATGGACAGGAGAGTGGAAAATGAACTGTAGCCTGTTCACACCATGGAGGACACAACAAGGAGAGGGATGTCCTGCTACACTCAACAACAGGGACAAGTCTCAGGACAGAAGTCATATACAGGCGTACACACCATGTGATTCCATTCATATGAAGTTCAAAACAGACAAAATCAATTAATAGTGTGAGAAATCAGGATAGTGGTCACCCTTGGGACTGGGAGGGGCTGAGAGGGAGCTCTGGGAACTGATCATATTCTGTTTCTTAATCTGGTGCTGGTTCCCAGGGCATATTCATCTTGGAAAATTCATCCAGCTGTACACTTAGGATGTGTGCACTTTTCCCTACATATATTTTACTTCAATGAAAAGTTAGCTTAAAATGAGTGTGTCTTGGTCAATTTTGTTTGAGGCTGTGTTTGCCAGCAGATACGACATTCTAAATTTGTGCGGCCATGTGTGTGCATATTTCAAGGATGTAGCTATTGTGTTTGTGTGTTTTGGTGTGACCATGTCCAGGGGGGTTAAACTATAGGAAAGTGGTTATGACAGCATTTCTGGAGCCAGAATTCTGGGGTAAAATCCCAGCTCTGCTTATCCAGTGACCTTGGACAAGTCACTGATAACTATTTCCTCAACTATAACATGGGAGTGAGTTAATATGTGTATAACTCTTAGTGCCTTGCACACAGTAAATACCCAGGAATAGTCACTGTTAATAAGTGTGTGATGTGGCCCCTCCCGACAGTTGCACCTGCTGTCCTCTCTACCAGTTAATCTCTTCCTTACTTCTGGTTGTTGTCTGCTCATGGCAATATCCTCATGGACATACAGGCCTCCTTCCCAGTTTCTTCTCTCACAAACCCCATTACTTGTGTTGTCTATGGTCTCCCCATCAGACTGTGAGTTCCTCAGTGGGTCAGAGACCAAGAATGGATCATCTGTGGGCTCCAGAGCCCAGGGCAGAGTGGTACTTGGGAAACATTTATGGTAACTGTTCAGGTTTGTCTGCACCAGGTCAGTCGGGTTGACGTGTGGTATGACTCCCTGTACCTGTCTCTGAAGCTTGTTCCTGTGTGAGAATGAAGATCTTAACCCTTCAGTAGATGTAGGTGTGTCAGAGGGTTCTCTTACTAGGTCTGGTAAGGTGAGGTGAGGTGAGGTGAGGTGGTGGCTCCCTCCTAGTAGGTACGGCTATAAGAACGACGAGGGCAGAAGGCATTTGAGATGGGCCAGGAGGTATGTGTTGGCAAGTGTGGCCCAAGCCTGAGGGCTCCCATCTCGGCCTCTCACGCAACCCGCTCTCCCTCCCCAGCCAAGGAGGGCCCGCACATTCCAGTCCTGCCAGCTGCACCCTCTCCTACCCTCCTCAAACTTCCTCTAAAAGGCAGCTCTGGCGCCAAGACTTCCTCCAGGTCGAAGCTTGAGCCTTCTCCTCCCAGCGGGACCCAGGACTGCCTCCCAGGCCCCGGCACCCCAAGCCTAGATGTCCCAAGTCCACCCTGCGCACAACCTGCCGCGCCCCTCAGGCCCCCTTCCGGACTAGGCCAAGCGAGCAGGGAGCTGAGCTCAGGGCCAAGGAATCCTGCCTGGGGCTGCAGGGGGAGGGGGGACGGGGGGGGTAGAGTGTTTGGGGTCTGAGCCCTGATTGGCTACGCCCGGGCCACGCCTCTACCCTTTTCCCCCTTCTCCCCCTCCGAAGGGGGGCGTGGAGGCAACCGGGATCAGCCAGGGGCCAGCATGAGCCGGAGGGAGGGAAGTCTGGGTAAGGGGCTGTAGGGCCGGATGCCGAGTGCCGGAGGGGAGCAGGGGTCAGAAGGGCTGGAAGCTGGGGTCTGGGTCCCCACCACCCTTAGGTTCGGGAAGGGAGCGGCCTCAGCGGGGAGAGCAGGGCCCCGGTGTCAGGTAACGAGCGGGTGAGTTGTGGGTGAGCTGTGGGAAGGGACGAGCGCCCGAGTTTAGAGGAGGCCTGGGGCTATGTCTTCAGGAACTTGGGCTCACGAGTTAGACCGCCGGTTCAAGTATACCCTGGGGGAGGATTGAGGTCATAGCTGGGGCTGGACGCCGTGATCTTCTCTGAGTATCGGGAAAGAATCAGAGCTGGGAGCCAGAGGGAGAGGTAAAGTTAGAGGAGGAAGTCTTTGGGACACAGGAGCGGGTGATTGACAACAGGAGACGAAAGTCGAGGCTGTTAAGGATAGGAACACGCGGGGCAAAGTCCGCCCGGGGGCGGGGCGGGAGTTGCCGGGCCGGGACTACATTCCCCAGCCTGCCCTGGGCACGTGCTCTGGCTTCTCGGATTATGTAGTCCTCCTCCCCGGGCGCCACCCTCTAGCTTGTGCTGGAGGGGTCCGGTGGCTGATCGCTAATGCTGCCCGGTGCCCAGTACAGCGCGTTGCACGGAAGGGCCATCAGTCTCCCAGTCTGTAAAATGGACTTAAGGTTCACTTCAGTTAGAAGTTCTGTGCTTCAAGGATGCTGAATTCCACCAACAATCACTGAGGTACAGAAAGATGTGAGCCCTACCCTCAAAAGGCTCCCAGGTTGAGGCAGATTCACATAAACAGCCAGTAAAAGAACCACCTTGGAATGTGAACAAATGGCCTTCAGTAGAAGGAAGAAGTTAATTTAAAGGAGGGGGTGAATCTGGAGGCTGCACTGAGGTAGCAGTGTTTGAATTTGGCTTTAGTAGGATTTCAGCAGTGACTTGGGGACAGGGAACACATTTCAGGTAGAACAACCGTTTGGCGAATGTCTGGTGCCTCACATTTTCCCTCAGTTAAATGGGACAGAGCCTGCCTGGCTAAAAAGTTGGAAAATTCAGAGTGGAGCTTCTGGGTTCAGGAAGAGCCAGGCTGAAAGAAGTAGTCATGAAGCAGGGGGTTGGGTACCCTCATTCCTCCCCCCTTTTCCCACCAGAAGACCCCCAGGCTGACTCCTCAGTTTCACCCCTTCTCCACTTGGAGGCCAAGATCCAACAGACACACAGCCTTGCCCGCCTCCTCACCAAATATGCTGAACAGCTGCTCCAGGAATATGTGAGTGGGGATGGGGGTGTGGGTACCAGGGGCCTGGGGAAGGGGGAAGTATAGATCACCTTGTCCTTGATCACCTATTTTCTCAACTTCACTTCCCAGCTGTAGAAATTGGGGCTCCCAAGAGGGGTCAGTAACTGGCCCCTGGCCACATAGCAGATTGGAGGAGGACCCCTTCTGTGCCCCAAATGCTCCTCTGTTTGCTTCAGCTTGGAGGCTCCCTCCTTGGTGATTTTAGACAGAGGCAACCTGAGACAGTGAAGAGAACTGTAGTTTGGGAGTCAGGAAACCTAGGTTCTAGGCACTGTGTGATCTTATCATCTCATCTTCATGGGCCTGGGTCTCCCCAGGTGTAAAAGGAGGCTGTTGAACAAGATGAGCTGTGGACTCTTACCTATGTTATGCAGAGAGGCCAAGAAGGGATTTGAGTCTAGGGGTAAAAATGCCATCCCAAGATGGCACTTTTTTTTTCTTTTTAATGGAGGTACTGGGGATTAAACCCAGGACCTTGTGCATGCTAAGCATGTCCTCTACCACTGAGCTATACACACCCCACAAAAGGGCACTTTTACAGAGAAGAGGGATCTGTCAACATCTTTGGTTGGACAGAGGACCCTGACCAAGTAAAGAAGGTAGTTCCCTAAATTAGTCTGGTATAATGGTGGGAGGGTGTAGTTTTGAATCAGACTGTAGGCGTGCCAACTTGTTGTGACCTTGGGCAATAATGGTAACATTGGGGGAGGGTATAGCTCAAGTGGTAGAGTGCTGGCTTAGCATACACAAGATCCTGGGTTCAATCCCCAGTACCTCCTCTAGAAATAAATAAGTAAATCTAATTACCTCCCCCCCACAAAAAATTAAAAAATTTTTAATTAAAAAAATTAAAAATAATAATGTAACAATTATGATAGCAATAGGATAATAAAACCAGCTTTGTAGTCCTACCAACTTTGGTTCAGATCCCAGCTTCTGCCCCTTCCTAGATGGATGACCTAGAGCAAGTCAGTCCCAATATCCTCATTTACAAAATCATCATCATCACACCCATTGTTGGAAAGATTAGGAATAGTGTGTTTAAAGCAGCAAGCACAATGCCTGAACCAGAAGCAAGATGTTAGCAAAGGATAAATGGTATTGTTACAGCATCTTTACAAATTACAAATCACCTCTATCTTTTCATTTGTTCACTCACATGGCAGTTATTCATTGAGTCCCTGCTGCATGGCAGGCAGGTGCAGAGGTGAGGGAAGCTGGGTGGAGGGAATGAAACAGACCCTACACATCTTCTGTGATTCTCAGCAGGTCCCTGGTAGGAAGGCAGGACAGGGAATGGTTCCTCTGTCTTACAGAGACCACTGAGGCTCAGAGAAGGAAATGGTTTTGTGCCAGACTGCACAGCTAGAAGTGGTGGAGGCAAGAGTTGAATCTGGGTCTATAAAATAGAAGTAATAATAAAAGAGCTAATATTTACTGAGTCATTCTTTAACATACTCATGACTACCTTATGATGTTGATACTGTTACCATCTCCATTGTGGAGATGAGGAAACAAAGGCACTGGGGTAAAGCTCACGGTGTTTTTTGTTATTTTGTATGATCTCAAACACAGCCGCTCTGTTGGCAGGAGTGTGCCACTTGCGAGATGGGGAAACTGAGACCCCAGGAGAGGGGTGGAGGGCTGAGTTCCCAGCGGATGAGTCGCGCTGCCGTCGCGCCTCCGGAAGCCGCCCTGACTGCCGCGTCTCCGCAGGTGCAGCACCAGGGAG